CAAGACCTCCTAACTGTAGGGGGAGCGTAGCGTCCTGGAAGGCGTCCTTCCAGGTAGGGGCTTTTAGCCACGGGCTCCACGAGGCCAGGACCGGGTCAACCCGTGTGGCAACCAGTAGCTCCCTTAGGGACTGCTGGCAGGAGTCCTGCCAAGTCTGATAATTAAGTGCATGGAGCCTCTGCGGAAAGCATCGAGCGGGAAGGCAACCTGAAGAAATAGGTGCGCAGCTTGCTCGACGTAAAGGCTGGGTTCACCTGAATCGTGTTATTGCCATAGCCTGCTGCTTAAGGAGGTGGTTTGAGACGCGACCTTAGCTTTGAACCGCTTCCGAGGGCCATTCCGATGTGCTTGACATCATGAGAGCTTGTGCAACGCCAGGTAACCTTTGCAGGGAGCCTTGGAGAACGCGATATGCTTCCATCACTGTCTTTCCTGCCGCCAGAAGCCATGAGCTCCTCCATCTTTGGCCCGGCCCCCAATGGTTCCTGTTGGGAACTCAGGAACTGGCCTACAAACGCAAGGCCCGTGATGGAGAAGGTGAGCCACGCGTACGTGTTCTTTTTCCTGTTGTATGTCACGCTTGTCGCCGCCAGCCTTGAAGGAGTTGTTCCAGCACGCATGGCTTTTCTGCAGAGCTTTCATAGTTGTTTCCAACTCTTGAAGCGGAAATACTTGAGCCCGGGGTAGCCAAGGTTTTCGCCGTCATCCGAGCCACTTGACTCAGCAGCACCCTTCCAGACCGTTTCATGCTGTGGAAGATGTATCGTGCTTACACCGCTGCCGCTAAACATTCGCCCCTCCAACTTCATGGTTATATGTGTCTGCGACAATTCAGGTGATATCCTGCTTCAAAAGAGCACCGCTCGCAGTCTTAAGCCCGATTCCTTGTGAAACCGAGATGTCTTGTTGGGTTGGACCCACTGTGAGCGACCCCCGAACCCTCTCCCAAAGCCCAACTCCGAATTTCTGTCATTCAAGCCCCAACCCGCTCAAACTCAAAACCCTGAATGTAAGGAGCAGCTGGTTGTGGACAGAATGAACAAGAAGGCCAAATACGTGGAGCAGCTGGAGGCTGACTTGACTTTGTTTCTGCAGTTTGGGGCATCAGAGTTTAAGGTTCTCTCCTGAGCCGTCGCCAGACTGCGCACAGCGTTGCCCACAAGAGCCGTTGTGCTGAGTTTCGAGCCGTTTCTTGCCAATCCGTGCGCGATTGCCATCCTTATTGCCGGTTTAGGGTTTAGGGTTTAGGGTTTTGAAGACGGGGGTTATCATTGTGACGAGCAAGCAGCACGATCATGCTGGCGAGCATCGCCAGGCTGTCTTCAAGGCCATTGATCAGCGTGGTTTCCTGGCAGTGAAGATAGGGTTTGGGATAACGAGCTCTCTGAGCCTCGACATCTGGCAAAGAGATCCTGAAATCTAAAGAATCTAGTCTAAAAATCCCCCTACACCCTTGCAAAAGAATACCACCACTTTGCGGCAAAATCCTTTGTTTCATGTTTCATAGATCAGCAGGCCAAACCCAGCAAGGCAGAGTGCAGACAAGGCCCTTACCCACTTGTACCTCAACGAAGAAGGGTCTAGGGCCCTAGGGTGTAAAGTTCAGGGTTCATCGCTGCAGAGTCTTTGCTAGCGGGTCCGGGGCCTCGGCCTCGGCCTCGGCCCTCCCGTCCCAAGTTTCGGACCTTGAGGTCCTTGCTTCTTTTTGGGACTTAGGATTACGGTTATGGCTGTTGCAATGGGGCATTGCCATTCTCTTGCAGAAGGGCACAGCGGTTACTGGCGTGGCATTCACAGGTGATGGCACGGTTACCGAAGAGAGGCTCAACGAGCTTCTTTCCCACCCACAGGCTGCCGAGTTTGAGTTGGGGCCAGAGTTCGAATCGAAGCTTTTAGGTTTTTTGGGTGCTGCTGGTGACCTGGCTGGTGTTGCTGATGTTGCTTCGGTGACGGCTAGGGTTGGTTTGGGAAGAAACAGGGGGAAAGGGATTCCGTTTCCCGGATCGACTCAACCCAAGGCTCAATTCGCCAGTTGTTCGGAGGGTTTGGAGCTTCTCGGAGTGTTCGGGGCGCTTGAAGTTGTAGAGTGTAGAGCGTTGCGGTGCTTCGGGCGATTCGGGCGAGGTTTAGTTTAGGATGTCGAGGTTTTTCACGCGCTTAGGGGTTTCAGGGTCTGTGTGGGATTTGAGGTTGCTTCGGAATGGGTCGTGGTAGACCCCGAGCTTCAAAGTCACGCCGGGAGGTCGCGGCTTACTTCAACGTCCTCGACCTTGATGTGCAGGACTCTCGCAGACCGGTGGTTGTCATGCCCTGTCCTTGTTTGCCTCAAGCGTTTGGGTAACAAGAGTTTCCATGCAGGGGTGGATACAAGGACAGCAGGGCTTTTCCGGTGCAGGTCATTGCGAGATCACACGACCGTTTCGGCGCATCGCCCGAACCTCCCCTCGATCCACCGAATCACGATTGAATCGAAGTCCCAAGTCCCAAGTAACGAATCCTCCGAAGGAAACTTCCGTGTTCTTCCACATCATTGACAACGGTGATGGAGAGGCACCAGTCCATGCTCGATGAGCGGGGCTGAGCCAAGCATAAATTCTGCCTGGGTGTCGGGGGTGCTTCGGTTGGTCATGACCTGATCTGGTCTCCATGCTGGGTTTGGCTCGGTTGAGCTTCGGCTCCTGAAGTCGGAAACAATATCCTCTTGACAGTCGTAGGGTGACCGAGTTCGTCTTTACAGCCTCGCATAGCTCGATCATGGCGACAATCATGCATGTGGCACGGATGGCAGTGGGCTTTTGGGGGCCATTTTGTTGAGCCGTGGCCATCAGCAACGAAATTCCGCTTTATACTGAGGGCCGGCTGTTCCTGTTAGGATGTTTAGGGTCAACAGACCAGCTATGCCTCCCATGTGGGTAGAGGTGTGTTTTTTTTTTAACGCCTTTGAACCCTTAGCCACAGCGCAGATAAAGTCCCGCACCCAGTGACAGTGAGTTGTGCCACTGGGAGTCATTTCTGAAGCACCCGCCGTTTGGAAAATCCGATGCAGATTCAGGTTGAAATCCAGACAGAGATTGCACTTTCGTCGCAGGTGACTCTGGACGAATTCATTGATGGCATCCTTCGATGCAAAGGCTGCTGTGCACAGTCAGGGGCATCCACGACTTGTCGGCATGTTTTTTTTCGGAAGTCTGTGCGAGCATAGCAACGCTGCTTGCGCAAGAGTTTCCAGCCACACAAGGACATGGTTGTTTGTAGTCATTGCCACAATGCGCAAGGTTGTTTGGTCAAGCCGAATCCTGCTGTAAGTTGTACCGTGTGTTGAACCTGTGGGAGTACGTGGACTAGAGGCAAACAATCACGGGCTACGCAATTTCAGCAACCCTTTGAATTGGATGATCGGGGAACGGTGTCAAAAGTCATTCGTTGAGGGATTGATCTAGATCCTTCTGGATGCTCACATGGTTCAACGATGAAGGAGCGCAGGCTTGCTACGATAACGTACTATCTACGTCTATGCTGCACGGATGGAGCCTCAGGATTCCTTCTTCAAAGAGCTATATGTGCAGGCAGAATAAAACTAAGACAAGTTCCAGGTTGTTCCATGCAGGAGGTTTGCTAGTAGGGCTGCCCCTTGATTTGAGAGGGTTATTTCCTGGAGCATGCACGTTGACGACTATATCATGTGAAAAACCCAAGTTGTATGCGAGACACCAAAAATATGTGAAATGGGACCCCACGCACGCTTCACGCACGATGTGATAGAACCCGGTTTCTGAAGCCAAATTACAAGAATTAGTCAGGCTTGGTTCAGGGCAGGCTGTCATGATTAAGGCTTATATAAGGTTTATACTTTGGGCCATTGTCATGTTGGAGACTTTGTGCAAGTCGTGTAATGTAGTCCTGCCGTAGTCAGTTATGACCCTATTCCCGAACAAGTGTTTCTTCCTGGGAGCTAACAGACAAACAAGCTTCCTGCCCTGCGAGCGTGCTTGGTCTGAGAGACCGGTTGCGTCTCGCATGTTTCTGTTTTTGCCTGAGGGCAGGCCGCGGGGTAGATTCAACGTCACGGCTCAGAAAACAACGAAACCCAAAAACAACAAAGTTAAAACAATCAACAAAAATGCACCGCTGCGGGTACGAAAGCTCTCCTCGTGCAAGAGCTGAAAAATGTGTTTTTGTTTAAACTCGTGCGTATCGGCTGCCGTGTGCTGTGCTCTTGCTGGATGTTGTCGCGTGACTCGCCGGACAAATCTTGCGGAGTGCCGACGGGGGTCTTGTGTCTTGGACGCCAAACCTTAGAAAGGCGCATTGATACTATGATTCGTGGGGAAGAACCGCTAGATCCAGCCAGTAACAGGTAATGCCCGGGCAGTGGATTCAATGGCGATTCGGGCAGATCTGAACCTTGGAGCCAAGGGGATGGAGCACTTGGCTGAGGCAGAGGGCTCTATTTCTTCTTGTCGGGCTTTTGATGCTTTCAGGACTTGAGATTTGGGTCGAAGCCGATAACTCGATGCCCCTACCACACAGCCGTACCCATCCCCGACATCATTGGCAGTTGGATTTTCCTTAGCATCAGGTCGATTATTTGTTGGGCTGAAACAAGCTTCTGCCCGAGTTGGCGACACGTCAATCGGTACCTTTCGCTGCATGGCACCACAGCAGCTACTGCTGCTGTTTGGTGGTGGCGGCGGCGGCGGTGGTGGTAGTGGTGGTGGTGCTGCTGCTGCTGCTGCTGCTGCTGCTGCTGCTGCTGCTGCTTGTTGCTGCTGCTCTGACGACAACGATCGCTCTTCAGACGATGCCCGATCCGACGACAACGACTAAAAAGGGGCGGAAAAGGAGGAGGAGGAGGCGAAGGAGGGGAGGGCGACGACATTGACGACGATGGCGATGGAGTTGTTGGTTTTCTTCTCACCGATGCATCTGCCCACAGATTTCAGTTTCCTTTGTCGGAACCCAGGCAGTGACGATTCTCGTGAGAAGATAGTATGTCCATGAGTTTCAAGTTTGTCGAAAGTTGATGTAGCCAGCTGCAAGGCAAACCCGGGACAAAGTCATCCGGCGAAGTCTCTAGAACACCACGCGCTACTGTACACCCTAAATTCGAACGCGGAAATGTGGCAATCTGGCCAACTTCCCCTTTTCCTTGCCCCTGCACTTGAGTCCTGTGCCTTTGCACCTCATTAGCGCTGATCAGAGCAGACATGTGACAGTCAAGCGACTTACGACGGCACCAGCGCTGGAAACGCGCGAAAACGCCGGTCGCATATCGTAGTGACGAGGAGTAGCTACAGCAAAAATACCTCGATGTGGCAACCAAGTTTCCCAATCGAGGAAGAAGCTGACGACCAAAGTGAACAAGATCCAGAGGAGAGACGGCTTAAGCCTTAAACTTTCGGGTTTCGGGTCGCCCAGCTCTGAACACTGAACCCTTGCACTTGTTGGCTTGTCAGTCACGCGGTAAAACAGGTCTCGACGTTTTAGTGCCGACCCAGTTCCGGGTCCTGTCATGAGGGAGGTCTCTGATCCCTGTCAGGACGCTGAAGCAGCAGTCAGTCTGAGGCTGTCTTTTGAACGCTTTTCCACATTTTCCACGTGGCCAGGAGGCCCGGCGCGATGGCGGAAGCTCAAGCAGACCAGGTTTCAGTCGCGTCGAAGGTATCCTATGGTCCTACATAAGTACATCGTATTTTGGTGGCAGATGCTTGTCTGGCCCACTCCAGCAACTCACGCACCTGCACCACTGAAGGAAAGACTCAACAGAAACACGTGCTTACGCTGTAAGTGTCTCGAGTTCCGAGCAGATAATTTATGGTGTTACAACGTGGCAATAAGAATGCCAGAATTAAAGGAAATAATAGCGTTCATGGTCGCATTAGCAATAGTAGTTAAGAAGAATAAAGATGTCATGCTTCATCTTGATACTGACATGCCCCGTCTGGGCCCTGTCCCTGACCCCGCAGTTTCTAAAGCGTCATGAAGCTCATTTTCTCACAGTAACCCCCCGTTGATTGGGGCTTATGCGGCGTCGGGACACAGGGGCGCAGAATCATTTTTTTCTCCGCTTGGCCATCCATGTAGGTAGCAGCAGCCCGACAATTCTACAAGCACGCTTCATTGTTGCACTGAGCGGAAAATCCTCCTGGCCACACGTCTCACGCGGCTACATGAGCTGCTGGGTTATAGCGTCACAGAACGGAGATTAGAGTTCACGTGTTAAACTAACTCATCGATTTTAAGGTTTCGTGGCTCTGAGATTCGGCTGGAGATGGAAAATGCACCAGGTACCTTTAAACGGCAGTTCCTGATTCCTGCGGCGAAGCAATTCTTGTGAGTAGTTGAACTGCACAGGTCGTGTTGGTGTACTGCCAGTGTTGGAAGCATGTTCCAGGAGATGAGCAGTGGTGCTTACCAATCCCAATTGGCATCCCCAGCGCATTCGCTTGTGCTTCCTGCACAAGGATGATAGCGCATGCATGGCGAAATTTTTTGATTAGAGTTCAGGGCAATGCGAGACTCTGGCAGCGTGGCTGTTGGCTACCATTCGCTCTGTCATCGTCAAACCTACACCCTCGAGATCCCTCGAGCAAAAAGGTCTGAAGTTTTGTTGGAGATGTTGAGGAACGCGAGAAGGTCGTCTTGCTGAACGAATGCCCTTTTTCCTGAAACTCCCACTTCACAGCGAGGCTTAGCGAGGGCTTCGACTGTTCGGAACTCACAGTAGTATGTATGTTACTTGCGTACATGAGCGTCGGGCTGGACCCAAAGTGGTAGGCAACTATGAAGTGGTAAATTTCGGAAGCCCCTTTGCAGCTGCCCGCTGGATATCATCACAGTTTTGAACCGCTTTGCACAGCAGTAGTGAGTCGGAGCGGTAAAGGATGCAAGAGCGATTTCACCCCAGTCTTTATATGCGAGTTTGTTTTGGAGATCATGCAAAAATGCATGGCTCTTCTATGTCAGTTCGGCTTGAGTTGGGGCTCTAGTCTGCAAGGTCAATGCTGCATAGATGTGGCACGGCGATGTTCATACGGTCCTGCATGATCCACTCGCAAGGCTGTACTTCTGTCCATGCTTTACGAAGACTTGGTATCTTGTTATATAGCTTCTCCTACAGTAGAGTAGTTAGAAGCTTTCGCCAGAGCTTCTGTGCAGTATGACTCGTGCCTTCTCTTGCGCAGGCTGTAGTACCTTGAACCGACGTGGATGTGTGCGTGCGTGGGCCTGCGATGCAGGAGCCCAGATTGCCAGCGTCGACTGTGAGTCGGAGAAAAGCGATTTCGTAGAAATGGGGGACCTGACAGTTCGACAGGTGCACGGAGTGTCGTCACAAGGAGGACCTGCTGATGATTTCACAGCCCTTCTGCCAGATGGTTTGAGTCACCTGGTAGCCTGGTTTCACGAGGAATGTCGTGGCATCACAAGGCAGCACGACCTTTGAACTCACATCTTCGTGGCGATCTCCCAACAGCTGACAGTTTTTGTCGAAAATAAATACGGTTCAAGATTCAGATGACTTACAAGCTTTGTCCAATATGGTCATCGTTATGAACTCCAGGGTTGCACAACGCCTACACAGCTAAAGACTCACTTCCACCCTCGAGCCGTGTAGCTTATGGTCCACCTAAGGGGCAATTGTTTTTCGGTTAAGGGCTTGCCGTAGGCTGTAGGTTCCCGTCCTCAAGACCCTGGGCATGTTTGCTTGGAAGAGTCCGACGGAGTCAGAGACCCTCCAAAGAGTCCCAAACTAAAGGCGCCAGGCCCGGAAGAACTCGCTGCCAAGAAGCCATGGAGAGCTCGCCTAAGATGATGCGCTCAGGCCAGGAGGCCCTTTGAGGGGTTTGGGTAATGCAGTGTGCATCGGGAGCTGTCAAGCCAAGAGTACGTTGTGGTTTTAGGAGTTAAACACTTAGGGAGGGCTGCAGGGTGCTTGAACACCCCTCCGAACCGAAGGTGTGCCACACCTGCTACTGGTAGGCAAGGCAGAAACACAGAGGGAGAGACGGAAACGGAGAAGCTTTGGTGCTTCACTTCTGCCGGTAGAGTCGATGCTTTTTGGGTCATTCAGCCTTTGGGTTTTGCTTAAAGGGACCCGGCAAGGTACGTGACCGCGAGTTTCGAGACGAGACTGTGTACGAACGAACGGAACGCTTCGTTTTGCGCTTGAATTCGACATGAGCTGGTGTCTGCGTAATTCCTTTCAGTCGTGACGCAGAGGGGGCCGGAGTGACGAGACATGGCTTCTTGTGTGCTAAGGTTTGGGGTTCATATTCGGAACGTCCTCTGCGCTTTGCGGCGATCTCTCGCTCTGCTTGCAGTGGCCGTTTTCAACATTGAACTGGAGACTACAAGTTCCGCAAGACCCAAACCTCTGCCACTGAGCCTCTCAACCCTTTGCCTTAACTTTGACCTTAGGGACTTAGGACTTACGCTGAACCCCCGGGTTTTGAAGCGCCCATCATGGCATGGCGCACGTGGCCCGGCCGCGGCCTCTGTGCTCGAAGATGATTCCATGGATCTTGGTCGCTCCTAAGCCGCAAAGACAAGCTTCGCGAGGCTTCTGTCAGGGATTCGACGGTAGGCCGGAGTTTGGTAATCATGGCAGTATTGGTGACCGCTTCCCAGCTCCCGCGCGTACCCCGCGCGTACCCTCCGTGAACGCTCATCCTCCGTAGCCCGGCCCCTGCCGCCCCACCCGCACCCTGCCCGTGCCCGGCACGTACGCCGCGCATACACATGGCCCCTACCCTGCCCGTACCCGGCGCGTACGCTCATCCTCCGTAGTCCGGCTTGCCAAGAACCTGAACGAGAACCCAACATCCGAGATGCTTTTGCGAAAAACGGCAATATTGGGATCCCCAACTTGCCTTCCGGATGACATGTGGAAGATTCCACGATACTTCAATGGAGTCCATTGCGGATGCTGCACCCCTACAGTCCGACAGTTGACGAGTGTCGACCATCGAGAAATTTTTGTACTGCATTGAGCTACAAGCTTGCTTCCTTGCTTGGTGGATGAGATCTCTCGACAACTATTTGGTCCAATGTGTCGCTTCCTCACCTGGGCCGTCCCTATACCCCAGATGCTGAACATGTAATGACAGCTTCGCAATTGCTGCTCCTACTGGAGTGTTTGCACTGCCCAGAAGGCTTCGCGACGAAAAGCATTGTGTAGTTCAGTTCAAGGCAGGCCAGATGTCGTGCTTCATTGCCTGTCAGAGAGTCAGAAAACTCGGATCCCAAGCTCACGCCCCGTATGGCGGGCAGGGCACCTGCCCCGACCAAGTCCGAGCTCGGAATGTCTTTTGAAGTTGAGCTTGAGCCGGGACGGAGTTGCAGAAGAGCCCGCCTAGCTGTAATTCTCGCCAACTAATTAACTTCCATGTGTTGCCCTGCTTCTTAGCTGCGCCCCTCAAGTGCGCGTAGTGTAGCTTTTCGAACACTCTAGTAACATCAGGGGACTTTAGGACGAATTCGAAACACTCTGCCACCCCACCGACATGACAAGGTGGCCTTTGTTCGGATTCGGGTCCAAGGAGCCTGCTTGCCGGATGCCATTGATGCAAGCCAAAGGCGAAATTTGACGCGAGGCCTGGTCCCACAAAGAGCAGGTGTACTGAAGACTAAGGCTGTCCCAGCTACCTGTGGTGGTAAAATCTTTTCCTTGCCGCAGTTCAGCGGGATCCCTGTATAATTCCAGAGAGGATTTCGGATAGATGGCCGGGACCCGTAGCCATCAGGAGATCCTATGCCGTTCTGGTTTTTTAGGCTCTGCAGATGTCAGACACTGCTGGGTTCCTGGAAGGTGATGCCGGTGAATCTTATCCCGTGGGCCTTTTTGCACTTAATTGGGCAGCCAGTCTCGTGACAACGGGTGTGGCCCATGTCCTCATAGAGGACGGGCGTCGAGGGAAGTTCACCCCGCTCCCCGTTCCTTTGAATCGGACCGCTACGTAGCCCCGAACCATTTCACGCGTAATGATCAAGCTTTCTGGAGGATGGGAGTGTGCTAATCCCGTGGACTGAAGGCTGAAGGCTCGGAACTCCCTTTGTAGCTCGAAGTCTCCAAGATCTTGCGTCTTCCATGTCGGAGGGCATGGACCTGTCGGGAAGGAGCGGATGGGTTACAACGTCGTCGAAACAGGGCTTGGCACTGGAACCATCGAGGGCTTCTACGCCCTGTTTGGATGCCTGCAGCCTCTTGGTTCGTCCTTGCTTTCCATTACTTGTTCTGCTCACTGGAATGTTCGTACGCCGCGTTTCTCCGTGTTGCGACTAGTGACGCATATTCTGCCGCAGGAGCTTAGAAACCCGAAGAACAGGTGTAGGATGCCTCTCTGTGGAGGTTGTGTAGAACTGCGGGGCATCTTTTAAGAAGCTTGGACTGCCGCAAAGCGATCGAAGCTCTACATCCTGAATCCTAATCACGAGCTCTGTATGACAAACAGAGCCGTACGAAGCTGAAAACGGCAGCCTACGCGAAGTCCCATGGCTCCGAGGCCGAACAACCTCACCAATCGGGGCTGTGGGCCGTCGGCAGCTGGGCCCAGGTGTAAATGCTTTTGTTGGAAATATGGATTCATTCGCATGGTTTGTCGGATGTCGGTCAGAATGTCGTTTCGTCGTGATCGTGGTCGCGGCGGTTGTGGGAGTGCTTGGTCTGTGGTTGTTGTTGGTGGCGGCAGTGGTGGTGACTGTTGTTGTTGCTGTTCCGTGAAGACGGCTGGCCAGACGGCATGCTACGCTCCATGCATTTTGCTGGGTTTCTCGACTTGAAGCAATTTGAACATGTCCTAAATCCATGGCATCACTCCCCAAAACGTCGGGCCTTACTGTGCAACGCTGAGGTTACATACAGTCACATAGCATTAGAAGCCTGGCCGGAAACTTACGTCAGCGAATGGGCAGAGGTCGTCAAGCAGTGCCTGGGGCTTGCAAGCAGGGCTTTTGTTTGTTTTCGGACGAGCAGTTCGGAGTGCCGTCGCGCTGTAGCCGTGTAGCCACACTCTCTGTCTTTCTCTTTCTCTCTCTCTCCCCCTCTCCCTCGCTCTCGAAGGCCGTCATTCGTAAAGCTAGCTAAGTCAGGATGGCTGGGTGTTGGGTCGTGGGGTCAAGGTTAAGGCGGTTAAGAGTGCACGGACTGGGCAGCGCTTGGGTTTTGTGGCTCGGTGCTCTGAACCCTACGAGGGAGTTGTAACTCGAGGAATCCAGCTATGGCACCGGTGGTTCTGGGCAGTATGGGTTACGATGGCACCACTGGCATCTTCTTCCCCTCCAGCAGCTTGAACTCGGCCTACTATACAGAGGGCATCGCGCTGGAGTTCTACCGTGGCTGGAACTCTTCGTGGAGCTGTTGTGCCAAAAATTTTGCTATAGGGCTATAGGATTAAAGACACTAACCACAGGCGTCGGAGGTTAGGAGCACGTGAGGGCAGGAAGGCCACGGCCGGCCCGGCTGCCCACAAAGAGCCCGAAACGGTGCTTCAGCAGGAGCCAAAGCTGGAAATACTTTGATAGCGTGGCGTCCATCGACCTGAATCTGATACTTCCATGTGCGGAGACGCGCTTCCAGATCTCGAAGGTCAACGAGGATTACCTCCGCTACACAGGCTATGAACCCGTATAGATGTAAGCACATTCGGATAGTACCAGTTTGTAAAGTTAGTAGTCAATCTATTCCTGATTGCCCGGAAATAGAGCTCTCTAAAGCTCCAGAGCAACCCAGCTTTGGTACAGGGTACAGGGGTGAGCGATGATGAGGGAATTCGGAGTGTTCTATTGTCCTAGTTTTTGAGTTTGCGATGTGGCTATGCAGAGGGCTCAGGATACTCGCATCTTATTTGCTCTGTGTCCTGGTCCCTCGGGCCAGAATGTAGGTGACACGGATGGCGTGGATGTGCTGACCAACGGCGATCTTGTTGCAAGGTGTCCGGATGGCCACTTCTGGCGACTTGATTGGGGCGTGAGCTTCGGTCGTGTAGGGCTTGTGCTAGGAGTTTGGGCTTTCGGAGGCAGGTGTGTGGAGGATTCGACGAAGTTTTTCCATAGAGTGTACAGTCGAATGTCGATGTGCTCATGGTCGCGGCAGTCTGTATCTTTGGACACTCCATGCATTTCGGAGCACAAAGGCCCGAGAACATCATGCACTGTTCCGGAAGATGCCCTTGCACCCAGGAACACGAACCTGCGCAGATATATACAGTACAGACTGAGCCCTCGGATGACGCGCTTGAAGCAAAGCAGTCGAAAGCAGCCCGTACGTCCATAAGCCAGACAAATTGACTCAGGCTTGCACCGAGCTGTCGTGCAGACGACTCCAAGTGTGTTCCATACGTCACCGGCGGAAGTGGATGGTGGCCGCCGGATGCATGTTTGGCTAGTCTTAGATGTTTCCGGAGACAGCCAGTACGTCCATGAGGCCATGACCCACTTGACACAGTTAGGTGGAACCACATGACTATTGCAAGAGAGACAAGCACATGACTAGCTGATGATATGCAATCGTTGCAAACAATCATGCGCATAAACGATGGGGTATTCCAGAATATGCAACATCCCAAGCTCCGGTCTTTTTGACAGCCGAGTGCATGATACAGGAGCATTCGATAGCCCACACTCGCCGCCACAAGCAACACGCGCAAGAACACCAGTAGCCGAACTGCAGCAACGATCTTAGGGATGCTAAGTGTGTCGATGCCTTCTAGACCGCAAGCAACGGACAAAAAGGAAGCAATGCCCTTGAAGTAGCAGGCCAAATTTCAAGTAGTTTGAAGGGTAGATGACGTCCACAGAATCGAAGCAAATCGTCAGCTAAACTGCTGACAATTGCCAAAGAGGTTCGGCCATGTGATGTAGCATGAGTGGAGCGCCAGATGCAGCTGCTTCTGCATGGTGTCAGTCCATGTAGCAGCACCAGGCATTGTCAGCAGCATTGTCACGTGAGAAAGTGTAGGCTGATGGCACGTGCACTTTCAGCTTGCTGTGTCGGAATCGACAAGTTAGAGACCTCATTATGTACTGGGCTTACACATGTGTGCCGGGCATGCTCGTTTGATCGGTGCTACTTGCCGCCTGATCCCTGACAACCTGCCAAGGTTAGATGACACCATGCAGAAAGCCACGGCCTACGATATTCCCATGGCTGTTGGAGTAGCCAGAGATCTCGGCGCACTGCCAAAGCAGAGGACGACAACCTTCTATGCCTGGGAGCCAGATACAACATTTTATGAGCTGCAGCCGGCAAGTATCACCTTCCCTCCGAACGATGTCAATGCCCACTTGTGCCTGGGCCCACTTGGACAATGCATGACCGGCTTGTAACCGTTTCTCGCCAAGGGATGAGATGTCATCCAACTCCGCGAGCCAGGAAAAACTCATGCAACCCGCGAGCTTATTGTGACGCTGAATGCCCCAGGAACGGAGACAAGAGGACTGCCGGCCCTGACTCCTTGATTGCGAAGGTCGTGAGCCAGGACCGATCGTGTGCGGTGTGTCAACGAATGCTGAAGGGCTTCGGGCTTGGAGTGTGGGTTTCAGGAAGACCAGACGTAAGCTGCCGAATCGGCGTTGGCGAAAGACCGTGAGGAAAGGAACAGATTGTGCTGAGAGGAGAGTCTTGATTCGCTGCTGATCGCAACGACGACGACTACGGCTACTCCAACTACTACCGCTACTACTGTTACTCCTACTGCTCTGCCGTTGCTACTACGACTACTGCCTCGGCAACGACGATGAATCTGTGCTAGTTCGACTGCCAGTGACAGTGCCAGTGCGAGATGGAGTGCTACTGCTACTACCACTGCCACTCTACCCCCACTGCCATTTCAATTCCAGTTGCTTTGCGAGGGGCAAAAACCGGCAGAAGATTTGTATAGTGACGGGGTCCAGTACATCGCGAAAGAAATTGTAGTCCACTGCGGATTGTAGATTGCAGGGCAACGTCACTCGTAACAACACTACCATGACATGAGCGATTGCCCAAATAGCAGCCATCAGAGACACCATGATTTCAATCAGATTGATGATCACAAGACAAGTGCTGGTGATGTACAGCATCGCACAAGCTTCCCGAAAGCTTTGCAGGATTTATCCTCGCTGTCGCCGCGGCTGGAAGACTTTTTGCACAACATGCGCTATAGCATGAAGGATGTGAGCAGCATGATGGGGGACTTGCTCAAGACGGGAGACTCCCCCTATGACGTGGCTTGGAGACTCTTCAGGGCATGGGTTTGCCCTAAACCTGGAACCCGGGTCAAGCCAGAAGACACTTGAAGCTTACTGTGCTCGAGGCGTCGAGGAGCAAGCCTTGTTTGTCTGGAGCCCTGCAAACCACACCGTGACAGGTTTCAGCGGTGATGGTAGGTGTACTCGAAACTATGTGGCGAATCCGTCAGTTCTGCCTGTAAAGGTGGCCTGCCGATGGCTCTTGGACAACCGTGATGCTTGGAAAGACTGGCTGCCGGACGAAACGAAATGCTTCCCCGGCTTTGGCCTGCACCATGGGCCGGACTTGAGTGCTCACTCTTAAGCAGTTAGTTGTACTTCCTTAAACCACTAGTAACGGGTACCACTAAATCAAAACGTGCAACTGCGACACCGGCGGGACTGCTATGGATTATCATTTCTATGATCACTCCTACCGCCACCCTTGTCCACCACTACTCTACTGCCACAGCTAGCACTGCCTTCCATGCCACAATTTTACAGCCGCTACTGCTGCTACTATGTACCACCGCTGCTACTTTTCTTCATGCTTCCTGCTACTCGCATTCCCATTCCTCCTGCTGCTGTGTGCTACTTGTACTCCTGTTCCCTGCCACTGCGGTGCCCACTACAGATCGCACTTGCTCTTCACCACTGCGACGAGGACTGCTTCTTCATTCCCTCTACTGCCACTACTACTTCTGCTGCTGCTGCTGCTGCTACTACTACTAGCACCACTACCACTACCACTACCACGCTACCACTACCACTACCACCACTATTACTATTACTACTGCGACGACGACGACTACTACTATTATTATTATTACTACTACTACTACTACTACTACCACTACTGGTGTCATCTGGCTTTCTGTATCTCTTTCTCTTGCTCTCTCTGTCACCAGTCTTGATGCGTGCCCAGGTATGACACGAACTTGTCGGATTTCACAAGCAACAGGGATAACCCCACATTCTTGGAATGTCGTGCCTGCGAGTCCGGGAGATTCTCATCCCGCCTGGATGACATCAAGGGCATCTCGGTCGTGCTCCAGGTTTGTGGTTCCGTTCAGGGCAGTGGGCACATGTTTGGTAGGTTGCATTGAATAAGAAAACGGTCGGGCCGCAAGATCGTTATCATCTTCAATTCAGTTCTGAACATTCCTCGCAATGCCGAAAGTCGAACGCCTGCCCCGCTAGTCTGCAATGACGACGACGAACATTGTATAGCAACCAGCCAAACCCACAAAGACGACGACAACCGTCACAAGAGTGTGGATTCGAACAGTAGCACCCCATTGCGCACGGCACAAGTAGTAGCAGTAGCACTATCGCTACTACCGTTCAGTTATCAGCAACAACAGAAAACTGCCTTTTCTGATGCTTGGTACCACTGCTGTGGTCTCTCTTGTGATGCCGGTCAGGAAATTGAGTTTCTTGATTATACACGAAAGCGAATATCGGCACGGTAAAGAAGACCGGTATTCCTAGCCTCAAAAATCTTGCTCCCCCAGGTTTCACCTACGAATGCAAGCGTTGTGCGCCCGGCACAAGCCAACCGTCCGGTGCAGCCTTGCAGTGCGAGAAGTGCAACCCAGGCATCTCTCCTTAACTGCTCAGGGTTAGGGTTTAGGGTTTAGGGTTTAGGGTTTAGAGAGAGAGACCTCGTTCAACAAAGGGTTTAGGGTTTAGAGTTACAGGTTTGCAGACACAGGCAGCTACGTCTTCTGCTTCGGTGTGCCGGACTTGGGATTTCCTGTTGCTGAGACCTTCCTGCGCTACGCTTCAACCCTCCACCCAGACCCCAGGTCCCTAAAACTCAGTCTCAAACTCCCTCCCTACACCCTGAACCCCACGCGGCAGAAAACCTTGGACCCCCAAACCAAGCCAAGAAGCGAGGCATCATACTCGCATTGATAATCCTGCCGTGAGAGGCTGGATGAAGCCTTGTCTAATCTGCATACACTACAGACTTGGAAGATTCTGATCTACTCTCGTGTGGTTTCCTTCTTCGAAAGAAGCCGAGGTGAGTATCAGAACGAGGTGGGCAAGCAAGCGTGCAATCGCTGCGAGATTGGGTATTACCAGGATGAGCCTGGGTCGCCTCTTTGCGTCGTCTGCCCCAGCGGCACAACTTTGGGCCTCGGCTCAGTCTCTTTGGCAGACTGCGGATGTGAGGCTGGCTACATTGATCAGGCCGGTACTTTGATCAATCGATCAGCAACAGATCACCAGCTGCATAAGATTTGATGCAGAGCCAAGCAGCAACCAGCAGCATGCGCAGCACTCGGGGTCGTTGTCGTCGACGTCGTAGTCGTAGGCCTAGCTGTAGTCGTTGCTGTGGCCGCAGTCGTAGCCGTCTTCGCAGTCATGCAGCAGCAGCAGCAGCAGCGGCAGCGTTGCCGCAGCAGTAGGGCCAGGGCCGCACGGGTAAGAGAAGTGGGAGTAGAAAGTAGGCGGGATGAGGAGTAGGAGCCTGAGCTCCAGCCGCAGCTGTCCTGGTCATGGTGTGCACGTCGATGTAGCTCAGGGGTCAACGACAGTGCAGCTGCAACTTGAGCACTGGACAAGTTGTGGGGACATGCAACTGCGTTAACAAGATCGTCAAAAGAGGGGACCAACTTCGATTGTCAGGCTGACGACGGCAATTTGAGTTGCCTGCCTTGTGGCTCGGGCCTGGACTGCCCAGCTCTGGGCTCCGTGACGAGCTTGGGGTCGGGCAGTTCTCCGCTGGGGACCAACTTCGTGCCCAAGGTGAAGGAGGACGCTTGAAGCACGAAGTGCCATAGTGGTGTGGGGGAGTAGGAAGAGCAGAGTGGTGACGGTGGTAGTAGTAGAACGAGGAGGAGAGGAGTGGTGGTCCATGTAGTTAGCAGTAGGAGCAGGAGCAGCATTGGCAGTATCAGCAGCTGGGGCGGTAGTAGCAGTAGCATTAGCCAGTGCCGGCGGAGGCGGTAGTGGTAGGGGTAGTCGTAGTCGTTGTCCCGCGCTAGGCCTCTAAGCGCTGCCAGCCTCCATCGTCATCATGCTCATCATCATCACCAACAACAACAACATCATCATCTGCTTCCTCTTCAGGATCACCACGGTCATCACCTTCGGTTCAGCAGTATTGCAATCGCCACTGCCTGCGGCATCATGAAAATCATCAGCATCTTCCTGTTTCCAGTAATCTTCAACATCGTCGGAGTCCCTTCCAGCCACCGTAATCTTCAAAAACACTGCAGTCATCTTCCCCCTCGTCATCCTCACGTATCATAACGCGCAGCAGCACCAGGCAAACATCATGGCAACGGAAACTTCGGGTGGTTGAAATACATTCTCTAGGTGTACCCAGCAGGACTTCTTGTGCATTCGGCTGCTGGAAAGCTCACGTGGGCTGCTTCGGAATTCAACATTGTCACTATCAGGCTTTCAACGTAGGGGCAAAACCCCCCCTCTTATCAGGATTCGTATTCAGACCCCCATCGAAAACCCGACATGTTTAGGGGTTCTACCAGCTTTCCCAGGATTTCTACAGCTCGCCGGAGAATCCGTTGATGCTGTTCCGGTGCTTGGGAGCCGGACGCTGTCCGGGCGGCAGGCCGGGTAGCTGTGCAGGCGGACTCCAATACCGGGCCTGCACCGAGTGCCCCTTGGCTTCATCTGTCTGGTGCTTAGTAGG